GCTGCGAGGCTGAGCACGCTCTGCCCGCGGGGCTGCGGGGCTGCTCCCCGCGGTGAGGCGAGACGCGGGTGAGCTTTGCCAGGGACCACCAAAATCAGGGTTACGCACTGGAGTAAATTATCGTATGCGAAATAATCACAGAGTAACCGAAGAGCTGGTTAGCGGCGCGCGAGGACAGCGCGGCGTAGTGCTGCGAGCCTCGCCGGCACATGCTCTCAGCGCACTGCCTCTGGGGCCTTTTCGTCCTGATTTGAGTCGAGACGGACTCGGAGCATCTGGTGGCTGGTTTGTCTTCATGAGCGTTGCTGCACAGCGTCAGAAATGGAGCGATGTATCCAGGGTTTGCTTGCAGGGACTGGAAGCCATAAAGCGATGTATGGGCAGAGGTGTTTGGGGCAGTAGATACAGAGGTTGAACTGTATTTGCTGTCAGGCGCAGGGGCAGCGGAGACCAAAAACCTGTTTCAGTGCCAGGAAGCCTGACCGTCTCCTAAGCCCCGTCTGGGTTTAATTTCGGTGTAAACTATCGCCTGCATTTAGGTGTGCAATAAATGCTTCCTACTGTAGGGGGAACAAACAGTCCTTCAAAGCCGTCCGGAGCCAGAGCAGGTAACGCTGCCGCACGGGGTGCCCGGAGCGGGTGGCGGCAGCCTCCAGATTACGCAGAAATCTCCAGGCGTCTTCTGCTCTCGCTGCTCTGTGATTAACAGCGGGCAGGGCAGAGGTTTTTTTTTCTTCGAGGCTTTGAAGGCATGATGGATTCCGACACAGTATATCTAAATTGCTCTGGCACTTGCACCAAGTTAGTTTTTTGAGGCTGTTGCTGTTACTTTATTGCTAAATAATAACTAATATAAAACAGGAGATGCTGCTTCATATGCCTGCTCAGTTCACGATGTCAAAACTGCATATACCGTTATCTCAGGGTTATCCAGGCTCTGCTAAACTGCCAGTGAAAGTTCGAGGCTGCAGGCATCTTCTACTAGGAGCAAATGACCCAGCAGTGAGTTTTCTTTGGATGGTTTTGGGTTATTCTTTTTTTTTCTCCTTCAGATTGATTGTTGGAAGCGTTGGTACAGCTGATATTTCCAACTTCTCTGAGCTATACTGAGTAAAAAATCTTGTATTCTAGGGGAATGCAAGTAGGTTATAAAAGAAGACATGGCTTTTTAACCAGTTATTAGAATTGGTTAAGAGAAAGAAGACTGATATTGTCATTAAAGCTATGTAGTTAAAAACTACAAGCAACATGTTTTCCTTTGAAGAAACAGATCAAAGTTGTATTTACGTAGGCGATTAGACCACAGCCTGTTTCCTGCTCTGTGCGTTACCTGGTAGACAGGCCTCAGTGCTGAGCTGTGTTTGGCCTTCCCAGTAAACAGAATCTTCTCAAAGTCAGTTTGGTTGTCGTAGAGCAGAGCCTTTTTCAGACAACGTGGAAAGCTTGGTACTAGCACCTTGCACATCCTAGCTGCTCTCTGCGAAGTGCCAGAGAAAATCAGTCAGGCACGTGAATGATCCAAGACTCACCCCTGAATTTGATGTGTGTATAAAAATGTGAAAAGCAAAGAGAATTTATCCAGAATTAGAAGAATAGTAGCGAGTGGAACCCTCCTAATATCAAAAGGAATGCTGGCGGTTTGATTAAAACTGTAAAACTCTTTTTTTTCAACCTTACTATTAAGCTAATCTCCTAGTGTTCTTAGTGTTGGCTTTCAGTAACATTTGGTGGACATTTTAAACTTTTCATGCACTATTTACAGCACTAAATATGGCTCATTATAACTGACTAATCTAATGCCCCGATCCTGCAATGGGATTGTGTCAGTAATCTTTTTTTTATCCACGGTGGGACTTCCTGTGGCTCTGTCCAGACTGATCAGAGTGCAGCAGAGAGGCTGACATGACAACAGAAATTTATGTAAGTCAGTGCATATATGGAAAAAGGAAGAATAACTGAATGATGAAGATTCAAATAAACCCACACCAGTTATTAGTGTATAATATTGCCACATGGGTTAACAGAGATTTGCTTTAAAGTTTGTATTATGAGCAGTTGTGCAAACTACAAGACTTCAAGGTTTAGTTTTGTCTCCTTGCTTATTTAATCCTTAGTCTCTGCTGACACTGCAAGATAAATTACTTATGTGAAACGTTGGAGAACAGTGTTGAATTGTTTACTCTCAGTCTTCTGTTATCCTGCATATCAGAAGCGTAATTAAGCTGTAAGCAGACTTCTGATGTGAACAAGTTTGTCGATAGAAGCCCAAGTTGGATTTGTACTCATGAGCGGTGAATTTTTTTATCTTTTTTGCATTATCCCACTGGAACAGAATTCAGCAGTGAAAACATCTCCAATTTTACAATGCAAAAGCTTAATCCATTGAAGTTCTCTTGGTAAAGTGTTGGGAGACCGACCTGTGGTGGTGGATGATCAGATGTGTTTACAGAGACTTGAAGTGACAGTTTCACATCAGGAAAAATGTCAGTACATGAAGTCAAATAAAATCATACACATGATTATGTTAATGTTCACAGTCTCCAGGTCTTCCTCTTTTTAAAGGGATCTTGCTTTGCTTTCTTATTTACAGTCACTGTTAATGCATTGGAAGGAAAAGACTGCAAGGACTCTGTCAAACTGATTGCAGAAAGCACTAATCTCTCAGAAGAGCAACTTGCTTTCCTCATTTCTGGCATGTATACCCTTCTCCGAGAAGCACTGAGACTCCCCGTATCGACTTTCAAACAAGAAGTAAGTTCTGGGAGCACTCGGAGTCCTGATAAGTTAAAAGCCGCATCAGACGCGAGTTACCATCTAAACCCTATTTGCCAGGGTGGGGAGCTGCACATAAAAATGTGCTCCAAGTTTAAGTGGTTGGAAGAAACTTAAAATTCTACGAGCTTATTATTGCACTTGTTGGGTAGATTTACGGTGAGCTTTTTGGAAGATAATTTAAGCTTTGGGAAAGAGATTCCTGTATCTTTTTTCTGCTATAGCATCCTGTTTACTGTGCATATTTGTTTTTTCTCTTAAATTAAAACCCAAGAATAAACCTTTGCAAAGAGTTATTTCATTGGCAACAACTCTCTCTCTTACCCTAATTGTGTGTTCACACATACAGCTCATTTTGTCCATGCTTGCAATTTCTCATATTTGTTTGTCTGCCTTTTTTCATACTTCTGCCACAGAGGAAGGAAAGTCTTATGGCTAGAACAATATAGTGGAAATTGGGTGAAAGTGCTACTTCTGTTTATACTGTGGATGTTCTGCGTGAATATGTGTACATCTGCCACATTCCCAACGCCTGTTCCTTCTCAGTGGCTATTTTCTTTCCTTTTTCATGTTACATTTTTTCTTTTATCTTTTCTTTTTTTTTTCTTACGTGAATGAACCACTTCTGGGCTTCCGGCCTCTGTTGTTTAAGATACTTCTTTCATATTTACCCAGGCATACTGGGAAAGCGGATGTATTGCAGGAAACATAGCAAAAGTATGCTTTTAGCATTCAGAGCTTATCTTTTGCCATTTCCTTTCTGTTGTTACAGTTTAAACAAGTTACTGCAAAACATATTTGAGAATGAGGGCACATAATTACTCTAAAAAAAGAATATGTTATGGATACCTTTATAAAAGAAATGGCAGGAATGTTATTTTCAAAAATAAAGGCTTCCAAGAGATCTAGGCCTTTAAAATTCGTTTCTCGCAACTCGATTGAACACTTCCAGAAATTCTTCTCAATATATAACCTGTCATTTCAAAACTACTGGCACTCAAGACTGAAACTTGTGGGGAAGAGATACCAAGCAAGTAACCACTATTAATTCACTAGGTAAGAAATGATCTTTCAAGACTACGTCCTGTAAAATGTCACCCTCTTTGTCTTTCTAGGTTTTTAAGGAAGACCTAAAGGAGCTCAGGTATGCCTCATTTTTTAATCTATTTGTTTTTCCGTAACTTTTATGAAACTGCTTCCCAAAATCAATTTTTTTTACACAAAAAAGTCAGTATACAAATTACCTGTAAATAATACATAATACATCTGTTGCCAAATGTCATGCGTAAGCCAGAGGAAAAAGCCAGGTGTTGTGTAAGACTTGATCTAGTGCTGAGCATGAGCAGTAAATTTCACACGCTGGGGAGACTGGTCTAATTTAGTTCGTAATGTAGGTTATGCAAATGTGAGTGACCTTGTCTCTGCCATCTCCACCTTGCCCTGCAATATTTTTTACCATGTTTGGTAAGACAGTGGTAACGTTTCAGGAGCTAAGACACTGCCCTACTTTTTTTTGTCTTTGAAAGGCCAATGATATAACGCTCGTGAAATCCTACCACATTGTTCAGCTCCAATCTCACCTGCCCGTTACCCAAGAAAGCATAACATTTGTTACAGGCTTAGTCCAAACCTGCATCAGTCTGTTCAGAGTATCTCTGAGTAGAACTTCATCTCCTAAGAGCTAGACATCGTATGCTAATAGTCTTTATAGGTTTTCCCTTATGTCCATATTCAGTAGCAATGAGAGAATAACAGCAGTTGGTGTTTTCATCTATAGAGAAACCTTTGCACCAAGGCCCAATTATTTAAAAAATGCTAGTTTCTCATAATTCTTAGTGTTCTGTTTGCTACCTAGGAGAAATAGATAGATATGTTTCTAATTCTGCCTTTTTTCATCCTGATTTGTCCGTTAACCTGCAAATTGGCTTTCTCCTCAGACTGTGTTCTGCAGAGTCATAAGCATAACTTACTTTATGAGCAGCTTCAGGGAAATGAAAGCTGCAGATTATTCGGTAAGAGGTGTAGCTGGGGCCGTGATGAAAGGTGCCTTGCTAGTTGATACAATTTTGTCTGCAGTTCAGTGCTGGAGTTTGGCCTGCCTTTTGTCGTGTGAGCTAAAATGCAAGCTGCTTCCTCTGCCACGTCATGGAGTTCACACCCAGGTTAAAGTAGGTCAGTAAGAAACCGATGGATTGTTTCTGACCCAGTGGGAGTTGGTGTTTTTTGAGGTGCATGCAGAATGTGTTCAGGGTGATTAAGGAATAATGAAGAACAGTAAAAGCTCCATGCCAGGTTCTCTGGGGTGGGTGAATATTCCTCTGCGGAGAGAGTGGGTACACAGGAGTGCCAGAAGTCACTGGCTGGGCTGGCTGCGTACACTGGTTGTATCTAGAAATACAGACTCCCAGGCCACTGTCCTTGCCATCTGACAACACTTTAATGCCTCACACTTTTGTAGTTGTGGGATTTTTCATACTTTATGGATTATTCATGGAACTATGAAGGCACTTTTCAGTCTGGATGATCTTTTTTATATCTTTGAAATATTGAAAAATCTTTTTTTGTCTTGTTCTGGCTAACATGACTGGTATAGCAGCAATAGTTCAGGTAACTGCATTTGTGTTGCTTGCAGACTTGTATGTTTTATGTGCCGCAAAATAACAGAAGCAAAAATAACAGAAGCTCAAAGGTAGCATTAATGCGCCTGTTCTAGTTGCTATGCTCCCATGATTCTCACATTATTGGGACTCTTCCTAACTTCCATCTCTGACAGTCTTATTTCCTGTGAGTAGCTCTCTTCACCTTGTGACTAAACTTAGAAGATTAAATAGCTTATTTTACCAAGCTATGATACTTAGTAAATTTGGTAGCACCTTTAGCACCATCGATCCCTGTGGGAGATGTCATTTCCTACGTTTCCCAGTGCACTTGGGTTTGGAGGTGAAGTACCTGCTCATTTTTAAGGCACCTACTAATTACATTCAGACACTTATCCTCCTGCAGTGGGTCATCCTGTGGTCATGTGCATGAAGAATACATGTAACTGGTTGAACAGCAGTGTCCTGGCATTATTGGCACCCAGTGTTTGAGCAGGTATTTTGCATTTTAAGGCAGAAAAAATGGCTTATTTCCCTTTTACATTGTGTCTCCTTTTAAAAGGTTTGAGCTCTGAGACAGGTCACCTTTTTTTTACCTCTTCTGCATTCTATTTTGTTTTCTTCAGTGAAGCTGAAGATTGGACTAATTCCACCTATATAAAGCCTTGTAATTCTCGATTTCCTGGTGATGTGGCTTGTCTTGGCTTCTAGTTTTGATGGAGAGAGAGGCTGATTAATTAGATCAATACTACTGGTTTCACAGGGATGCCATTCTATATATCCTCTATTTCTTGGCCTGGCTGGCTGAGCCAGTGAGAATGAATTCACTCTAAACTGTGGGTACTATTTTTTCCCTCCCCTCTTAGGCTGTTTGATAACTTCATGTCTCAGGCCAGTAACGTGGGATTGAGACATCCTCACACCTTCTTCCTTGCCCTTTGAGTCCCTTCCTCAGAATGTTCCTTCGAAAACCGATTGCCACCTGTAGCTCAGGCCTGAGCTGTGCCATGTTCTGTCTCTGATCTGCTCAGTGTGTGACTGGCCTCATGTAAGCTGTTTGAGCCAGGAACAGAATTTTCAGCAAAACCATTAACTG